AACCAAGAAGACTTGACAACATAAGTAACTACCAGTGTTCTGAGAACACTGAAGACCAGTAGTAGGACAAAGACCCTGGAATTTATAAGAGCCAATTTCAATAGCTCAGAGCCCAATTGCGAGGGATTCCATGGGGAGTGTCCATGGAGGGCAAAGCAGCTTGGGAGAAGCACAAGAACAGTCCATCCCCTACAAAGAGAAAGTACAAAGGCAGAACAAGAAACCAGCGGTCTTAACAATGAATTTTGTTTAAAAGAAAAAAAAGCAGCATACCGGCTATAGAAAGACAGCCAAATACCCATCAAGGACTACAAGAACCTTGCTAGGGCATGCAGAGATGGCTGCCTAGCCTCAGGAAGGCTAAGGCTCAGCTAGAATTGAAAATGGCCAAAAACCTCAAGAATAATAAGAAAGGGTTCTTCAGATATGTGAGTAGTAAGCAGAAGCACAGGGAAGATATAGGCTAATTGCTAAACAGCACAGGGAAATTAGTCACTAATAATGCTGACAAAGCAGAGGTTCTCAATACCTTCTTTGCCTCTGCCTTTACTGGTGCAGCTGGACCCCAGGTCAAAGGATCAAATAGCTATGACAACACATGTGCCAACTTACTAGTAATGGAGGAAGGTCTGGTCTATGGCATCTTGCAGGGGCTCAATGCACATAACTCTATGGGACCAGATTGAATCCAGCCCAAGGGAAGGAACATTGTTTCCAGGTCACTGTCTATAATATTTGAAAAGTCCTGGAGATCAGAGGATATCCCTGATGACTGGAATAGGGCAAATTTCATACCCATCTACAAGAAGGCCCCAGAGGAGGCTCTATATTCTATCCCACCCTATCCTGTCCTGTCCTGTCCTGTCCTGTCCTGTCCTGTCCCATCCTACCCTGTCCTATCCTGTCCTATCCTATTCTATTCTAAAGAGGACCCAGGAAACTACAGGTCCATTAGTCTTACTTCAGACTTCAGTCCTTGGGAAAATAATGGAACAAGACCTAGAAACTATCACAAACCAAGTGAAGCAGGTGATTGGGAAAAACCAGCAAGGATTTACTGAAGGCAAATCATGCCAGACTAACCTGATCATCTTCTACAACAAAATAATGTTTTCCGTTGCCATGAGGAGAGCAGTAGGTGGTGTTTACCTGGACTTCAGCAAAGTGTTTGACACTGTTTCCCACAGCCTTTTCCTAGGCAAACTGGCAAGATATGTATTGGGTGGGTCATCTGCAAGATGCATAGGAAATTGGCTAACAGGCCATGCTCAGAGGGGGATGAACAATGTTTTTTACTCAGGCTGGCAGCCTGTCACTAGTGGGGTCCTCCAGTGATTGATACTGGACTCTACACTGTTCAACAACTTCATAAATGATCTGGACGATGGGATTGAAAGCACCCTCACCAAGTTGACTGATGACATTAACCTGGGTGGTGAGGTGGACACTTCAGAAGGGAGACCCATCTTACAGAGATATCTGAACAGGCTGGAAGAGTGGGCTAGCAAGAACTGTATGAAGTTTAACAAAGAGAAATGGAAAGTTCTGCACCCGGAATGACATAACCAAAGAGCCCAGTACAGTCCCTACCTCTGTTAGGGAGCATTAATCTGAGCCATCATCCCTGGCAAGCCCAGTGCTTTGGTTTAGCAAAGACATTGCACATCCTCTTTCTTTTGTTGAGACAATGTGAGATTTAGCCTAAGGTATTAGAGAATATGGTAGATGATGAGTTATAATGAAGGATTAGAATAGCAGTTACTCCCACAAGGAAATGGGATGGGGATGGTTGGTGGGGGAGGTTAAATATTAAAAGTCTTACCTCCCCATTCAAGAAACAATAGAGAACAGCAACAACAAAACCCTAGGTAAATGAGAGAGAAAAAAATAATGTAATTCAAATCCTTCAGTAAATGCTAGAAAATAGATGGAGTTAAAACAAACAAAAAAACCCAAAGCAAAATCCTAGTATACAAAACATACACATAAATAAACACACAGTCTGAGAACTGTGCATGCAAAGTAGTTATAATGAATAGAGATTTCTTTTTAACAAAAGCAGAATTCACTGTATAATCACCTGGAAAGATCCCAGTCCCAATTCAAACACTAGTCTCTCCCGCTTACTGACATTTTCAGGAGAAAAAGCAAACACCGTGTAGTGAATTCCAAACAAGGGGATAAGCAGTAGTGTAGAGCGAGCCAGTCTCCTGTTACAACAGAGTGAAAGAACTTTAATGCAGCTTTGTAATAAACAACTTGTGCTTTAATTAAAGAAGAAAACACAGAAATTATTTTATTGCCTTCCTTTTGGGAAATACATACACTGTATAATTACACAAACAAATATACAACATTCCCATTTGTTCCCAGTGATTTCACACACACTGTAGTTCGGTCCCACTTCTTCACACTGCTACAATAATACCACATTAGCAATGCTTAATACTCTGTACTCTTATTTTAATTTACATTATTATAAGCAGGGATTATTTCTATCGTGCCAAACATGAGGAGGGTAATCTTGCTAAGGGATTCAGACTGCTACCATAAAACGATAATAAACCTCTCATCCAACTGCTTAATCCCAGCGGAGGGTCTGAAATCACTTGTGTGTGTGTGTGTGTATTTATTTCTGCAAAGCAAAAAACTCCAAAACAGCAATACAAATAAAGCTAAAACCCCCCTGAATGTTCTTATACTCATGACTATTCCTTGACGTCTTGATTTTGATCTCATTTATACTGTTGGAAACCTAAGTGTAATTCCATGGTGTAATTAATTTCCATTGCATCAGTATAAAGAGGTTTTAGAGAGAAATCAAACTGGATAGTTTGGTATGTAAACAAACTATAAACAAAAGGGCTGGAAATGAATGTGTACCTGTAAGCACTCAACTGAGTATGGATGAAATTCCCCAAAAGCTGGGGTACAGCCAAGACTCATGCATCAGTTTCGGTTATTGTCATTTGCTGACTGAGCAGCAAAAAAGACCCAAGAGGAAGCAAATGTTGATCTGAAAATACGGCAAGTGCTTTATTATAAACAAAGCACCTAAAATAACTTCCAGGACATTTACAAAGGGGAAAAAATATGATCGATTTCCTTCAAGTAAGTTAAGGAGGTAGATGGAGGACAGAAGAACCTAAAAAGTCATAAGGATTTTTGGAAGACCTGCATACTTTTTCAAACTCAAATGTTCGTTCTGCTTTTATCTATATGGCACATTGCAGACACGTTTGAATTTGCTAATACATGCTCAACAATATCCCCAAAACGATGTTTGTGTTATTGAAAGTGATGACTGACTGAATTAATACATCTCCAAGAACTCTGTTAACATATGCTGGTATATCCAATACTAAACTGGGAATGGGACATCAGTTCACTGCTGGTGTCCCTCAGTCATACTTTGTGCACTAACGGTGATAAACACATCACAACCCTTGCCTTGAGATTGTACTAAACACACATGGTTCATTAGTCTGATGCACACCAAATCTCAAGACTTGGTGAAAGACCCCACAAACCAGAGGACACAGTTCTTGTGAATTATCAAATTAGATATTGACCAAAAGTTTTTTAACAGGAGAGGAACAAGCTTTGAACAGGTTGATGAAGAACATAGAGAGTTTTCAACTTTGGTGATCTCTAGAAAAAGTAAGTGATACAGGAGTGACCCAGTATAACAGACTAAAAGACCTTTCAAGGTCCCTTCTAGCCCTTTTTCTCTATGGACATGTAATCAGATTAATTGAAAGGAACAGAAATGTCATGGAAAAGATTGTAGAATATACTATCTCCATAAACAAAAAAGAATGTGAAGAACGTAAGTGTCTTGAACTAGACATGGAAGAAAAAAAAATTAAATTAAAATAGTAAACTGGACAAAAAAGTATCATCTCTCAAAACATGTTACGCTTTATATTCAGAATTAATGACAACAACAACAAAAAGGTAAATGTTATTTTGATTTACAAGTCAGACTAGAATCATCTGTTAGTATGTTATAACTCACTGCAGTCATAGGAGATTAGTTTTGGGAAAGATATGGAGGAAAACTTGTTCTACTGTCAGTTTTCTGGCATTAATTATATCTGATTAATCATACAATTAGTTTGTAGGATCTTGAAATATAATGTCATCAACTTATTTGAGATACTGTCTTCAATATTGTCATAAAAATCAGGAAAATACATGAAATGTAAGAAGTAACACATTCTGAAGTTT